TTGCGACAACCCAGATTCAGGCTGGACATCAGGAGAAGCTTCCTCACTGTCAGAGCTATAGGACAGTGGGACCAGCTGCCTGGAGAGGTGGGGGCCCCTCCCACACTGGAGTGAAACTGGACAGCCCTCTGAGTGGGATGGTTTACCTTGGTGTCATGCAACAGCAGGGTATTGGACCCAGTGGCCTTCGTGGCCCCTTGCAACTCGACGCTTCTCTGGGGAAAGCAAGAGCCTGGGCTGCGAGGGCCTCTGACCTGATGCAACCTCCGCTCTCTTCGTGTGCTTGCACCTGCCTTCGCCTGCCATGGAAGCTGACCAAGCCTCTGCGTTCGCAGGGCGTATATCGGAGAGCCCCAGAAGCGGGGAACAAACTCCTGCCCTTCTGCTTGGCTTTCCACGGCCTCTTTCCTCCAGCTGGGGGAAATCAGTCACTCAAAATACCTTTCAAAATGCCTGAATTCCCACAAAATTGCAGAAGCGTTGAGTCCTGAGCTTTTCCACACTCGATTGTTCAAGAAACGTGTTGTTGCAGAAAGCTGGTAGAGGGGCCTCCGTCGTACAGCGACCCTGAGCACTCCCTCTGTGATCTCCTACATGGGGATCCTCCGGGGCAGCGGCTGCTCGTTGAATAGCATTCTGCCCCTTCTAATGGGCCGGTCTGGTCAGCTTGTACCTCTGCGTGGTGCACTGGCGTTGGCCCGAATGAAGCGTGGTTCAGAAATGTTTCACGAAAGAAAAGAAAAACTGGGCCGCCAGGGAGCCGGAGGACGGGTGGCCGTGGGGCTTCGGCTGGGGTTGGGCTTACTCAGCGCAGGGGAAGGAAGTTGCACGGCCCAACCGCAGGGGGCCTGCCTTTGCTGAGGCGGCAGCAGGACATTGTGCAGGAAAATGCAATCTGTGCAGTTCTTTTCCTTACACGGTCCTTCTGCTTAACTTTCTCAGTGGCTTCCTGGAAAAGCAGCCCTCCCGTTGTATGTGGAGAGATGCCGTGTTTGCCCTTCCAGGAAGCTTCAAGTGCCCCGAAATCCAGGCTGTCCGGGTGCGTGGGAGCACGCCACCGCTTCCTGTCTGCGTCTGCTCCGGTCGGCCCACTCAGAGCGCTCAGGCCAGCTGGTCCTTTGCTTGGGGCTTGCCTGGGATGCTGGCTGGGATCCGGAGAGCTGGCGTGTGGGCAGTCTGGTGCCTGAAGCGCTTGTTTTCTGGTAGCTCCCTCATTGGCCTTCGGGACCACTTGCTACTTGGGTGTGGGCTGAATGCAGATTACACCCAGGCACTGGTCTGAGCTATGCTTCAATTTGTGATGGCAGCAAGTGAGACTCCTTGGGCTACGGAAATCAGAGCGATTTTAGTGGCGGTGACGAGACCAGGTTCTCCCGGGGGCTTCTTTTTCGGCTGGTTGCTGTAGCCGTGGTGGCAAGCCCGGAAGGCACATGGGACCGAACTTCAGACACTGCCCTTGTGACGGATTGCCAGAAAGCAGCTCGTGTGAGGGCTTCTGCTGCCAGCAGTGAAACGGGGCATGTGCCAGGGCCGCCTTTGCCTGCGCGAGCAGCTTGCCCCAGCCATGCAGGGACCTCTTGAAGTGGCTGCCTTGCTTCTCCGCTTTGTCTTCCCTTCAGTTCTTGACAGACCCTTTTCAAAGCTGAAGCAGCGTGTGGCACCCCCAGATCGTCTCCTTTGAGAAAAGGAAACTATTTGACAGCTCTGCTTTCCTAAGGGGCTGAGCCTAGAGCCAGAGGTCTCACTGGAGGCAGCAAAAATCAGCTCACGCCTTCCTGATCTGAAGCTACAACAATTAAGGTATAAATATGCGAAGACTGAGTCATGTGCCTGCAGGGCCCAGAGGGGCATTCTGGAAGTTCTCGCTGGTCTCTGGGAGTTTGGCTCTGGCCCTCACATGCATGCCAGTGAAGTGGTCTGTCCACAGCGCAGTGAAGCACGAGGAGCGGCATTCCAGGTGAGAGCAGCGACCTCTGGCCCAGCATGCGGCTCACAGAGTGGCCCTTCCGATGCCCAGCGGACAGTGCGCAGCCAGCATGCGAGAGCCCATGCGCCCCATGAACTGGTATTCTTGCAGTCGTGGAGATAAGGTGCAGCCATGAGGACTAGTAACCACTGAGAGACTTCTCCTCCAGGAATCGGTCCCACTTTGGTGGCCTGCCTTTTCTATGTCCTGCATCTCCCCACGCAGCTTATTTGGACAATCCGGGTTCCAGCAGTCTGAGAAAGCGGATTTTCTCCCTCTCCATTTTCCCCCACACCACACGTGGTTTTGCCTGTGTCTGTCGTGCCTTCCTGCCTCCCGCTTACGTATTGGCTGTTCTTCTAAGCTACGAAGACCCAAGTCTTGCTTTGGCCTTTGTTGGATCTTGCCCTGTGTGACCTGCATCTCGGTCCCGCACTGAGCTGCCCACTGCAGCACCGCACCTGCTTGCCTTCGGTGTCTCATGGGGAAGGATGTGCTTTGAAACTCTGCCTTCCGGAGCAGGTGTTCTGGTCCCTACGGGAAGCTCACTTAGGGAAGGTCTGTCTGGCACCTCTTACAAGCCTTTTCCCTCCAGTGCAAATATGAACAGCTAACGGACCACCCTGACCTAAAGGAGCAGATGGCCAGAACGCAGCCCAGAAGAGGTGGCCGGAGGGGCGGCCATTCTGTTTGGACGAAAGGGAAAAGCCCCCGCTTGTGGGAGTGCGGTGGTTGCCATCTGCCGTGGGCCATTTGACAAGGAGCTGCAGCTTATGATACACCAGAACCCCTGACCTGCCCCTTGTGCTTCTCCTGGTGACATTGCAATAAGTGCGGCTGCTGCAAGACACAATTCTGGCCTTGCACAGTTCCTGCACCTCGGAGATCGCAGGCGGCATCTTTGCTGCCTGAAAAGCTCAATCTGAGCCGAAGGACCCGACCAGAGAGTGGCTTGGACCAGGCCTACCGGGGCACGAGTCGTGGCTGCTGCGGAGCGTTCCTCGGAGCTGGCCGGCGCTGCACAGGGAGACCCCCCGAAGCAGCAGCCCCTGGTGCGCCTTCCGCAGGAGGCCTGGCCTTGCCGGAAGTGGCAGCTCCCTGGACCTGGGGCTTAAGCCAAATGCTGCTGAAAAGACTTGCCTCGCGTTGAGCCCCAGGCCGGGCTCCCGTGGGCAGGGATGAGCTCCGCCGTAACACAAGCATGCCTTTGCGCACGGGTTGCGAGCAGAACAGAGCGCCCTTTGTGTGCAGATTCTGGCTGGCAAGCCAAGGAGAGTTTGGCAGGCAGGTGGGTGGGAAGGGGGGGGGAGGGAACCCAGTGAGGGTGGTGTGTGTGTGTTTGCTTATTAAATTTATAGGCCACTGAATAACCCAACTCTCTGAGCACCTTCTGTGCTCCACAGGAAAACTAACTTCAAGCCCCAGAAGGTTTTTTAGGGTTAAAGTGCACCAGAGGTCTGAGTCCAGTCTTGTAAGCAGGTCTGGTAGGAGAAACATTTCTGTCAAGTTGGAAGCATTGGTGGCGTTTTTTTCACACTGGAGGCAAACCAGGGAGGGGGGGATGAATGCCCCACGCTCCGACAGCTCCCTTCGCTGCTTTGCCGGGGGCTGCGCTATTCGCTTGAGCTTTCCGTGTCCCGTGCTCCGAAACAGGCCCTTGGCCAACCCCGTTCTCCTCCGCGTGCCGCTTGCCTGTTTGCTCCAGTGGCCGGAGGTGCTTGCACCCGAGTTCTGCTGAGCCACTCTCCTTTCCGGGGATTATGCGCAGCACTCCTCTGAAGGCGCCATGAGGTGGAAGGGAGTGGATGTTACGGTGGTCCCCGCGAAAGCACGCCTCCCCGTCCACGCCGAGGACCTGGGACGATCTTGCCGCAGCCGGTGGCGGCGGGTGTGTGGGCATTTCCCTCGTGTCGGCTGCGCTGTCGCTCAGCGGGGCCGCCTGAGGTCTCAGTGCGTGGGGGGCGGAGGCGTGTTTGCAGTGAGCACGCAGCGCAGCCACACTTGGGGGACATGGGTGGGAACGGGAGCCAGGCTGGGCGCATGGTCCCTGCGCAGGGGTCCACCGTGTGATGGCTGCCTGGGGAGGATTCTCACCTGACGTCCTGGAGACCCGTGGCTGCCAGTCAGCGTCTGCAGAGCTGCCCTGGGAGGGAGCCAACATTTCACCCCTTAACTGGGGGGGACAGTCCTCCCTGAAGCGTTTGCTTATCTGTGCACAGAAAACTGCCCCCCCCCCCCGGCAGTGTGCACATGCACACACACGGCTTGACAAATCGAACAGTCACGTGCTGGCGAACCTCCTCGCCTCCCTTCGCTCTCAGATCCGAAGTGCTCCGTCTGCGGCGGCACCCGCAGGTCTGCGCACCGAGACGCAAAGGTGCTTTGCCAAGCGTGCCACCTTCCGGCCTAATCCCAGAGGAGCTGGCACACAGGCCCGGCCCTTCCGCAGTGCCGCCGCGGCCTGAGGAGGGCCCGGCCTGGTCTCTGGCTGCGCAAGGAAAGCGGCTCTGAGTTCGCGAAGGCTCAGCACACTGGTTTCCCAACTGCTGCAACACCAGGACGCTAGATGTCGAATGCACCACTTGCGGGGAGGCCAGAAGGAGCTGCATAATTTGACATGTGTGGATCAAAGCCGCCTTTTGAAGGACATTTAAGTTGCTGGGTTGGGAATCTCTGCGATCTTATTCCAGACCCTCCTTTGCAAAGGCAGCTGGGTGAACGAGGAAAGCGGGAGCTGCACAGTACGTGGAATCCCCTGTTGGGACGGCTGGCGGGGGCTGTTCAGCCTGTGCCCCGAGGTTAGGAGCCTGCCGGTCACTGGAAGCCAGATCCGAGAGGCCGGCCAGGTTGCAGAGCCCAGATTCTGTGCCGGGAGGCTCATCCCATCAGAAGCTTCCCAGCTTATTAAATAGGTGCAGGCCAGCCCCGTCTTCATCAGCTCTGGCCAGCTTGGCGGGCCTCGCGAGGATGTGGGTGTGTGTGAGGTTGTCCCCGCCGCTTTGGCAGCAGTGACCCCGTGTCATCCCTGCCCCAGGTCACAGGCCCTCAGCCATGGAGAAGAAGGACTATCGGCATGGGAGTTTCCAGAGCAGCACCAGCGATGAGGACATGGTGGAGGTGGCCGGAGGGACGCTGGACTTCTCCATGGCCGACGATGTCCCTCCCCTGGACGGAGGCATGGCGGAAGGTAATGCGGAGCGACCCGCCGCCCTGCAGCGCCTCCGCTCGAAGCCTCTTCTGCCAGCGGGTCCCTCGCGCGGCTGCCGCATTCGGTTCGGTCGGAGGAGGGCGCCCGTCCGGCTTGCTGCTGGGACTGGGGAGGAGGAACCTTGCAGCGGCTCTGCTCTTGCTCCAGGAGTCGGCAGACCGAACCTCCCCCAGGGAGGGCGCCAGAGAGGACGAGGGGCCCGGCTGCATCAGGCTTGAGCTGGGGGAGGAGGCGGGAGAGCAGCGGTGGGTAGCCGTCTTCCCATCTTCCCTGCTGCTTGAGGAGGAGACGCGCCCCTCGGGGGCTGCTGGTTCTCAGGGGCGAATGCTGTCTTCCACGTCAGAGTGCACCCCTGTGGCAGTGGCCGGGGCGCATGGGCGGGAGGGTGCACCTCTCACGCCCCTGGCTAGTGGGCCTCCGGTTGGCACATCTGGCTGGCCCGTCTGCGAGCAGCACGCCGGACGAGGGGGGCCCGGGCCCGATGCTGCCTCAGGGCTGCTCTTGCGTGCCGCCTTGGGCTGGAAGGCCCGGAGGGCCGTCGCCGTCGGTGGGGATGCCTGGGGCCTGGCTCCCAGGACGGCCCCGGCAGAGGGAAGTCCCCGGGCGGCTGTGGGCCCAGGCTCCCCGCCCTTTCAGCACAGGCCAGGGGGAGCACCCGGCCTGGCAGAGAGAGGAGCAAGCGGCGGGGCGGGACGGGGCTCCCGCTGGGTGTTCCTGCCCCCGCTCTGGCACCCGCCTTCAGTGCAGACAGCTGGAGAGGCGCTTTCCCCGCGTGGGGAGTGCACTGGCAGGACACAAGTTGCGGCAAATCACTGGCCAGGAAGGGAAAGCGGGACCCCACCCCAGCATCCCGGAGCCGAGCCGCCCCCCGCCACAAGAGGCAGCCGCCGGTCAGCCTGGCTCACGGGCTGCTGCTGAGTGAGGGGATGCTTGGGCAGCCCGGCGGGAGGCCTGGCTCGATTCCCGCGTGGCTCTGCCGGGCAGCACGGAGGTGGCGAGGCCGCTGCCCAGAGAAGGGGGACTGAGAGCGCTCGCCTGGGGAATGGGCGTCTCCCGGGCTGCCGCTGCCGTCGGGCGAATTGCCGCGAAGCCACGGGGAGCCAGCGTGCCTCTCTCTGCTTCCTGGTGGACCAGCAGCGGGGAGTGGTGCTCCGGGTCGTCGTGTACTGCGAAGGCTCCTGTTCTGGGCTCTGGGTGCAGAGGTGGAGGCACGGCTGTCGGCAGGCTGGTCGCTGTGCCCGGCGGCATGGCGTCAGGGCTCCCTGCCCCAGGGAACACGAACGACCGGCAGCTCTGGCTCTGGAGCGGTGGCAAGAGAGCGACGAGGGCATGGCGATCTGGGGGGGTGTTCTTGCGCACCGGGGCCACATGCCGCTCAGTGATGCAGCTGCCCCCGGCCCCCTTCTTCTGGCGTGGGATCTCCTGGCTGCCTGCAGCCTCGCTCTGTAACCGCCACCAGCGGCCCAAAAAGCAGCTCCCGGGCGTTCTTCCGGCTGCTTGTTCTCCTCGGCATGGAGGCACTTAAAGATTAACTTGGCCCCGTCACCTTCCTGGGAAAGTGACTTTGCTCCTTTGGGACTTTGCATTCCCTCCTGCGGTATCAAGGAAGGCATTTCTGGATCGTTTCCGCAAGCGAGGTGTGCTTGAGGCCTGTGCGGCTTGTGGGGAGAAGCAGAGCACCGGGCCTCCTGCCTGCATGGCCCCGGGGTGGGCGCCCGTGTGTGTGCCTGGGGTCAGGCTGCCATGACCCCCAGCAGGGCTTGCTTCGGTCAGGTGCGCGTCTCCGGCAATTGGGCAGGGGGTCCTGCTGGCCAGTTAGAGCAGGCTGGGGGCCGGTGCAGGCCCCTGCGGGATCTCTCGGGCGGGAGCGACGGGCTCTCACGCACGGCGGGATCCAAGGCACCTCGCGGGGGGCAGCAAGCCCTCGCTCGCATTCCCAGCAGGAAGGAGCGTCCTGGGGCCGTCTCGGTGGCGAGGACAGCCGGGCACGTGGCTGCTGGAGCAGGGGGTGATCCCACATCCCGCCGCAGTGGGGGGGCAACATTTCCTCCCTGGGAGGAGGCTGCTGAGGCGGCCTGGTGGTGCGGAGCAGGCCCACGGCAGGGCAGGGCAGGGCAGGGCAGGCCAGCTGGAGCCCCGGGGGGCGTGGCGGTCTTTCCTCTCCCTGCCCCCTCTTTTCCCCTGCGTTCTTCGGGCCCCCTTCTGCCCGGGTAGGGGTGGTCCCTGGCAGAGCTCTGACCTGCCTTGCACTGGAGGGTCTCCGGGGTGGTGGGTGGCCTCACGCAGCCCGGGAGCTCTGGTGGGAGCAGGACCCTCCTTCTGACTGGGGGGCTTCCAGGGCCTCTTAGCAGCCCTTCGCACTCGCTCGCTGTGCCTGGGGGAGCAGGCAGCCCCCCAGAAGGTTGCCTCCGCCTCTCCTGGAAGGGCTTTCGGGCGACTGGGGCGTGCGTTAGTGTCTCGTTCCTGCAGTGCTCACGGATGGCTGTGTACACTACCAGTGGAACTGGGGCCCGACGTGCGGGCGCACGGTCAAGTTGGTGGGCCCTGCAGGCAGGGGGCCTGGTTGTCCTCCTTTGGCCCCCACCTCGGGCCCCCCGTTCGGTGAGAGGGCTTGCCTTGGCTTGAGGGCTTTCAGGACAGTTCACAAAATAGCGAACTAGTAGGATGAGCAAAAAGCAGGCAAGCATCCGCCCGTCGGCAGCCTCCCCACCCTCGCTCTGCTTCGCAGATTTCTCTGCATACAACGGGATGAACGGTGCAGGCAAGATGATGGACTTCCTGGAAGTGCCCGTCCCCGGTGTGGGGACCTATGAGGACTTCAACACCATCGACTGGGTGCGCGAGAAGTCTCGTGACCGGGACAGGCACCGGGAGGTCAGTGGCGCTCCGGGGGGGGGGGGGGGGGGGGCTGCCCGCCACCCCATCCCCGCAGCTCTCCTTGAGGCACCGTCCGCATGGCGGCGCCCCTCGGGTGCAGGGACGGGGCGATATCTCCCAGCCCCGGAGTGGAGCCAGTGCCTGCGGAGCCCAGCCTGGCGAAAGCGCTGGCTGGCAGAAGCGGGCCGACGCCGGGCTTCCTCCGCTCTGTCGGCTGCCAGGCTGCCCCTGGAACAGGCGTGGCCTCGCGAGCAGGCCGGGGTGGCGATGCCGCCGCAGCCCCAACCAGCCCCTGCTGTATTTGGAGCACTGCTGTGGGGACACCGGTGCCTCTCGCCGGCTTCCTCCGCACCTCCCGTCTGGGGGAGCCTGTTCTCCCCTGCCGTGGCCGCTTTGCCCGCACCGGGCGGCCCAGGAGCCCACGCGTCCCGGGCAGTGCACGGAAATTACGAAGCACAGGCACCAGGTCGGGAGAGCGGAGTGGGAATACACTGACACGCAACACGGTCTGAGCTGCTGAGCCGGTTTCGGGTGGACGCTGGACCCCACCAAGCGGTCGCTGCGAGCGCCCCGCCGTTTCTCTGCTCCCTCATCGCCAGGTGCCTGTGCTGCCCGCCGGTCCTCTGTGTGTCGCCAGAGGGCCGGGCCAGCAGCCCGCAGTGGGGAAGGAGGCTGCGCACTCCCACGGCCTTGCCTGGCGGGAGGCCGCGGGGCGGGGCGGGCCGGGCCGCAGCATCCCGGTGGGGTCGGGTCAGGAGACGGGTCTGTGCATATCCCTCCCGGGGCCCCCGGTAGCGGTCCAGTGGCCCTGCCGGCCGGGAAGGATGGGGACTGCGGTCCGACGTGCCTGCAGGGCAGCGGGCTGGGTGTCGCTGCCCTGTGCCGCCTCCTGCACAGCAGCGGGGCAGAGACACGGAGCGCCCCCCTCCCCGACGCTCTTTTCCAGATCACCAACAAAAGCAAGGAGTCCGCGTGGGCCCTGCTGCACCGTGTCAGCGATGCGTTCTCCGGGTGGCTCCTGATGCTGCTCGTGGGCCTGTGGGCAGGTGAGGGCTCCCGGCCGCGGCCGCCTGGCCTCCGGCGCGCCCCCGGGGCTTGAGGCGGCAGGGAGGAGGCGGGCGGGCGGCCGCCCATGGGGGCAGGAGCGGGCGCCGCAGGAAGTGGGGCAGCCCCTCCCGAAGGGCCGCGCGGTCTCGCCACCCCTCCCCACTGAGCCGGGCTTCTGCTCGCAGGGGCGCTCGCGGGCCTGATCGACATCTCGGCCCACTGGATGACGGACCTGAAGGAGGGGGTGTGCCTGAACGGGTTCTGGTACAACCACGAGCACTGCTGCTGGAACTCCCCGGACACCACCTTCCAGGACAGGGACAAGTGCCCCGAGTGGCGGACCTGGGCCCAGCTCCTGAGCGGCGCGGAAGAAGGGGTGCGCCCAGGGCTGGCCCTGGCGGGCGGGCGGGGGGGCGGGCAGGCACCGTGTGTGGGGAACCCCCCCCCCGGGCCCCCCCCCCCCCGGTTCGGCTGCAAGGTGTCCCCGGAGCCCTCGAGTGGAGCCGGGCAGGGCAGGCAGAACTGCTTGCCGGGAACCCGGCGGCGCCCTCGCGTGGCTGGGCAGCGTCTCGTCCCCAGAGGACTGACGGGCTGCGCCCGCTCTCTCCCCCAGGGAGCAATGGCCTACGTCCTCAACTACTTCCTCTACGTCCTCTGGGCGCTGATGTTCTCTCTGCTGGCGGTGCTGCTTGTCCGGGGCTTCGCGCCGTACGCCTGTGGCTCAGGGATCCCTGAGGTGAGGATGGCTCCTGGCTCTCGCGAGGAGCAACCCCCAGGGCAGAGCCGAGCCCGGTTCTCCCGGCAGCCGCGGTGGGCTTCCTGCGGGGCGGCACAGCCCTCTGCAGATGCATTCGGCCCCCCGCCCCTGGCGCTCCAGGTGTTGTGGGGAGACCTCCGCCTGCAGCTGGGGAGTGAGCCCTGCAGAACAGCCGCCCTCTGCCTGGGCCTCGCTCCCTTGGAGAGAAGGGGCGTGAGGGCCTGGCTGGAGCTCGGCTGAGTCAGAGGCCCGGTCGACTGTCCAGAAGGATCCCCTCCACCCCAACCTGCAGCTGCCCCGCCGGACGCAGGGGCGCCTCTGTGCGGCGTTCCCAGCCGCACGGGGCCGGGCTGGCGCTCAGCCTCCGCCTGCCCCAACCGCCAACCCCCCCCCCCCCCCCCCCCGGGGTTGGGCTGCTGCTGCTGCAGTCCTTGGGCTCGGCTTTCAGATCAAAACCATCCTGAGCGGCTTCATCATTCGAGGCTACCTGGGCAAGTGGACTCTGCTGATCAAGACTGTCACCCTGGTGCTGGCCGTCTCGTCGGGCCTGAGCCTGGGCAAGGAGGGGCCCCTGGTGCACGTGGCCTGCTGCTGTGGAAACATCCTGTGCCACCTCTTCACCAAGTACAGGAAGAACGAGGCCAAGCGCCGGGAGGTGAGAACGGGCTGGCCGGGCTGGCTCGTAAAGGAGGGCCGCGCCGCTCCGGGGGCCGTGAACCTGCAGCTGGCCAGGCTGAGGGCGGTCCTGGGCCCACGCCACCTCCTCTGCAGCTGCTCTCCAGTTGGCCGCACAGAACTGATGCCCCCGCTTAAAGGCCTGGCCGGAACCCGGACTGCGCTGCTCGGGCCGAGCGAGAGCCGAGGCGTTGTGAGCGCCGGGCCAGGCCCCTCGGCCAGCGCTGGTGTGAAGGGGTGCAACTGACCGGCTCCGCCGTCTCCTTTAAGGTCTTATCAGCCGCGGCTGCTGCTGGCGTGTCGGTGGCCTTCGGAGCCCCCATCGGGGGTGTCCTGTTCAGCCTGGAAGAGGTAAGGGGCGCCCCGCGTCCCCTCACCTGCCCGCAGACTCCCTTGCCTCCGGCCCCTGCGTGGGCCGTGGGTCCCGGGGCGGCACGGCATGCTGGGTGCCCTGCGCTGCTGTCCACCCCGGACGCCTGTGGGGAGGGCTGTGCCCCGTGGGTTCTGCCAGCCTGCAGCATGGGGGCGGGCCCCCGCTTTTCCGCAGAGGGCCCCGGACAGTCATGGCAGCCCCTCGCGCCAGGCCGGGAAAGGCGGCTTCTGGGGAGCCGTGGCTCCGTGCCGTGCCAGCCCCGCTGAGCAGCGTGGACGAGGGCCCGGCTCAGCCCAGCGTGCTGCCCGTGGGCAGGAGCCGCCTCGGCGGCCGGTGCCCTCCTCTGGGCCGCTCTGAGCCCAGTGCCAGGAGGGCGCATGAAAGCGCAGCGCAGCCCGTGGCGGGACGCGGCGGCCTCCCTCTGGCCAAGGCGCGGTCGATGGAGGCGTGTGCGCTGCGTGCCAGCCGGCGCAGCACGAGGGCGCCTCGCTGGGGGTGCGCGGGGGCGGAGCGGGGAGAGGAATTGGCGCCTCCCGTGAGCCGCCCCTCGCCCCCCGCACAGGTCAGCTACTACTTCCCGCTGAAGACGCTGTGGCGCTCCTTCTTCGCAGCCCTCGTGGCCGCCTTCACCCTGCGCTCCATCAACCCCTTTGGGAACAGCCGCCTGGTGCTCTTCTACGTGGAGTTCCACACGCCGTGGCACCTGCTGGAGCTGGTGCCCTTCGTCCTGCTGGGCATCTTCGGGGGGTGCTGGGGGGCGTTCTTCATCCGCAGCAACATCGCCTGGTGCCGCCGGCGCAAGTCCACCCGGCTGGGCAAGTACCCGGTGCTGGAGGTGCTGGTGGTCACGGCCGTCACGGCCGTCCTGGCCTTCCCCAACGAGTACACGCGCATGAGCACCAGCGAGCTCATCTCGGAGCTCTTCAACGACTGCAGCCTCCTGGACTCCTCCAAGCTCTGCAACTACCTCAACGGCACCAAGGGCGAGGAGCTGCCCAGCCGGGCTGCGGGCGCCGGCGTGCGCACGGCCATGTGGCAGCTGGCGCTGGCCCTGCTCCTCAAGGTGTTCGTCACCGTCTTCACCTTCGGCATGAAGGTGAGCGGGGACGGGGGTCTTCCCGGCACTTGGGGGGAGCGGCGTGGCCCGGCGGCTGGCGGAAGCGGGGGGCCGGGGCACGTCTGCCTGCTCTGCCCGGGAGCCCTCGTGGGACCTCCGCCGGAGCTGAGGGTGCAGCCCACCTGTCGTGCACATAGAATGGGAGGGCAGAAGCACATGTGGCCGAGGAAGGGTGGGACGCACCTGCGGAGCCGGCGGGTGGCGTCGGGAGCGACGGTGTTCCAGCGGCATGGCCGGGGGTTCTGGGGCGGGGAGGGAGGAGGGTGCCGGGGCAGGTGGAGAGCCGGGGTGAGGCGAGAGCCCTGCCTGGAAGCCGGGGGGTCCCCAGGCAGAGCAGAGGCCCACGCTCGCTGCTGCTGCAGCTGGCCTGCCCCGCCTGGGGCGGGTGCCGCCCTCTCCCGCCTGCTCCCAAGGGGGGGCCACGCCCGAGTGCCCCCCGTGGCTCTGGCCACGTGGGCAGCCGCCCCGCTCCCACGGGCCCGGGCGCTTGGCTCTGCTCGGCTCGGCTCGGCTCGGCTCGGCTCGGCTCTGAGGGCGCTCCTTTCGCAGGTGCCCTCAGGGCTCTTCATCCCCAGCATGGCCGTCGGGGCCATCGCGGGCCGCCTGCTGGGGGTCGGCATGGAGCAGCTGGCCTACCACCACCACACCTGGGCCCTCTTCCGGGGCTGGTGCAGCCCCGGGGCCGACTGCATCACGCCCGGCCTCTACGCCATGGTGGGCGCTGCAGCCTGCTTAGGTAAGTGGCAGGGGTGCGCCCGGCCCAGCGGCCCCGGGGGCGGGCGGGCGGGCTCCTCGGGAGGGATGGTCCTGCCAGCCTCTCCCCATGCCTCCCCCTCCAGCCCCCCCGGGGCTGCCCCACAGGACCAAAAAGCGCATCTCCTTCCTGATGGTCCGGATGCTGCAGGAGCAGACCTCTCGTGCAGGGGTCTGAACGGGTGGATTCTCGGGGGGGACCCGGGGATCGTCTGGAGAGTGCTTTTGGCGCTCTCGGGGGCACGTGGCACCGGGGCGCAAAGCGATGGCGTGGACGCCGGCGTTTCCATCAGCCCTCGCCCCCGCTTAGTAATCTGGCCCAGAAGTCAGAGGAGGAGGTACACGTGGCTCGGATCTGCCACCGTGGGGTTCCGACGCTCTCCAGAAGCAGGGCCTCTTTGAATGCCGCTCGCTGAAAAGCGACCTCGTTTGGGCTGCTCGTTGCAGTGAGGCCGACTGTCGGGGAGCCTGTGCGGAGTGCTGGACCGGGGCCTAGAGGATCCGGCTCCAGCCCGCATGCAGCCCTGGCGCTCACTGGTGGCTTCGGGCCAGTTGCTGCCTCCGCCTAACCTGCCTCCCCGGGTTGATGCCGTGAGACAAAAGGGGAAGGAGCGCCAGACCAGCCGCCGTGCTTCCTGCAGGAAAACGGGCGGGATGCAACTGGCGCGCGAGAAACGGCATCTGTGGGAAAGAGGAGCTGGGGGAACGGCCGTGCCCAGGCGCTTGGAGCGGGCCTGGCCCCCCTCGCCCCCTGGGGTCTTCCCAGAGGCATCAGGCCAGCCCCTGCGAGGAGGGGTGCTGGCCAGCGTGAGCGTGTGCCCGGTGCCTCCCGCCTCCCCCGGCCAGCAGCCGAGGGCTCCTGTGGCCGCTTCCACCCACACGCGGTAGTAAGTGTGCAGCCGCAGCGACAGCCCATGAGCATGATGGCTCTCCCGCAGCCTGGAGGACTAGGAACTTACTTCTGCGTTCTGTTCAAAGCCATGTCGGTGCATCAGAGGCTCCCCCATTTGGGTGCATGTGGCTGTTGAGGGGAGGCAGAGGAGGGGGCAGCGGTGCGGGGTGCTCCTCGGGGCCCGCCTCGCTGATGGGGCTGGCGGTGTGCGCCGCAGGTGGGGTGACACGCATGACGGTCTCCCTGGTGGTCATCATGTTTGAACTGACCGGCGGGCTGGAGTACATCGTGCCCCTGATGGCGGCGGCCATGACCAGCAAGTGGGTGGCAGACGCCATTGGCCGGGAGGGCATCTACGACGCCCACATCCGCCTGAACGGCTACCCGTTCCTGGAGGCCAAGGAGGAGTTCTCCCACAAGACGCTGGCCATGGACGCCATGCGGCCGCAGCGCAGCGGCCCCCCCCCTGACGGTCCTCACGCAGGACAGCATGACGGTCGAGGGCGTGGAGGCCATTGTCAGCGAGACCACCTACAGCGGCTACCCGGTGGTGGTCTCCAGGGAGTCCCAGCGGCTCGTCGGGTTCGTCCTCCGGCGGGACCTCATCATCTCCATCGGTGAGAGCGCAGATGGGCGACGGGACGGGCAGGCGGGCGCCTTTCTCCCCCTCCCCAGGCACATGGCTGGGGACCTCCGGAAGGGCTTCCGCTCCCCCACGGCAGTGCCAGGCCAGTGGGGGAGCGGAAGGGGGGTCCACCCGGCCCACCGGCCACGGAGCTCCCACGTGCCGAGCGCGGCGGCTTCTGGGCGAGGTGGGGCCCTCCCTCGCGCGGCTCGCCTGGTTCCCACGCCCCCTGTCCGTATTTCCGGCCCCATCCTGCAGCTGCGCCGTGCTGCTTTCTGCACGTGATCCTGGGCTTTTTGGTTGCATGTTACCTACTGGCCTGCTCTGGTAAGAGGAAGGGCAGTGTAGAAGATGGACTACCCCTCCCAGAGAGCAAGACCGCCTGAGGCCTTCCACACGCTGCCCGCCATGGCCGCCTGCACATCCCACCTTCCCTCTCCGACCGCTCCCTTCTCCCGCCCCCCAGAAAACGCCCGGAAGATGCAAGACGGAATCGTGAGCAGCTCCATTCTGTACTTCACCGACCACTCCCCGCCGCTGCCTCCCAGCTCCCCGTCCACCCTCAAGCTCCGCAGCATCCTCGACCTCAGCCCCTTCACTGTGACCGACCAGACCCCCATGGAGATCGTGGTCGACATCTTCCGCAAGCTCGGGCTGCGCCAGTGCCTGGTCACGCACAACGGGTGAGCGCTGCGGGGTGGGGGGGGCGCTCCTGCGTGCTGGACGCCCTCGGCCTTGTGCCGGTTCACGTGGCCGCTGCGCCCCTGCACTTCCGCCAGCACGGGACCCGCCTCGCTCACTGCACCTTTTTGCAGGAGGGAGAATCCCGTGGGAATTCCGTTCCCAAAGTGGTGGTTGGACGTGGGACCAGCGCAAAGATGGCCACGTAGAGCAGGAGAGCTGTTGCATGTGTGTTTGTGTGCAGGGAAGGGGAGGGGGTGTTGAAGCACATCCAGAAAATGAGGCAAGACACATTAGATATCTAATAATGGAAAATATATTGTATATTCAAGTGATACACATATCAAAAATAGAAAAGCTGGTGAAAGAATGGGGAATTCAGTCATGTTTCTGCGGGGGGAAAAAATCCCCTTTTTAATATTGGTTCCTCAAAAGGTCTATGTCATTTTTGGCAATTAATTGAGGGTGCCTAGTTTTCATTTCTGCTCTGGTTAAAACTCCCCCGCTCCCTCTTCAGCTTGCCAAGGGACTGTGGGACCTGCTGCCCCTGGGGGCTCTCCTGTCGGAGAGGGGGCCAAGGTGGGCAGGGCTTCCTGAAACGGGGCTGGTGGCCCTGGCAGAGGCTGACTTGCTGGCTCTTGCTCTGGGTTTGCAGCCGGGCAGGCGCCCCCCTTTTCTTCTCCCTGCATGAAGGTTAACGGGGTCCAGCAAATGAGCTGGGACGGGGACATCGCCTTCCTGATCGCCTGCAAGGCTCCAGCGCTTCGTAACCTCGGCTTCTGTGCACGCTCTCTTTTAGGAAGCTCCTGGGTATCATCACCAAAAAGGACGTGTTAAAGCACATTGCACAAATGGCCAACCAGGATCCCGACTCCATACTGTTCAACTGAACAGGAAAAGGGGGGGTACTGCCGCTCCCCCGAGGAACTTTCCAGAATGGACTCAAAGTTTCACTTACTGAGAATCTGGAGCCGTCTTCAGAGCTTCCGATTATGGAGCTAATGATAATCATGTTTTATTTTTTCTACAAGATAAACATTTGCACTATATAATCTGTGGAAATTAATCTTCTTTAGAAGAAAAGACTTTGTTATATAATTCTTTGGAAGTTGCATTTGGGGGGTAATTCCGTGAAGAAGTAAAAGCAACAATAGAACTGAATCGGCCTGTTGCTGTAATGTTTAATTTCTTGCTTCTCCAACAGGTCGGGTGCAGAAGGAAACCAAGCTTTCCTCAAGCCCGGCATAAACCAAGGAAGAGTGGGATGGGGCTTCACACGCCACCGTGCAGGTTGCTGCTCAGAAAGGTCTCAGGCCCCGGGGCAGCTCCACGCGAGGCCCATGCCCAGGACGCCTGGCTTCACTGCCCCACGTCCGGGGCACCCTTTCCAGGCGAATCCGGCAACCAGGCCCGTGGCAGCTTCATCCGGATCAGCGGATTGGCCACGAGGGGCTGCCCTTCTTCAGCACAGGCGACCGGCCGCTCCGCTGCTCCTTGCTCCAATGAAACCAGGCTCCTCCGGCAGGCCTGGGCCCGTCCGTCCGTCCGCGAGCCGTCTGCCGCTGTGGGGCTGCCAGGAACACCTGGGCGCTCAAGCGCCTCCTGGTCTCCCGTCAGCCTTGCAAGGGAGCCGCAGCTGCGCCACAGCTCGCTCCCCTGCCCTGCCGGCAGCCTCTGCAAGCCTGACGGGACCTGCCTGCCCCTCCCCTGCTCTCCGCAGCCTCCTGCAGGGCCTCCAGAGTGGCGTGGACCACACGGCGCAGCTGCCCCCCTTTGCTCTGGTTCGCTGCCTGGAGGCGCAGCTTCCTTTGCTGGTGACTGGCCTGGGGAAGAGGCACTGCCCAGCTCACAGCAGAGAACGGCCCCGATTCTGCCTTGAACTCCCCCCTCGAGGATCCCACTTGCCTCTGGCACACCCACAAGAGCGGGGCGAAATGGCTGGGAGGCTCGCCCAGGCTCTGGGTCGGCGCCGGGAGGGAGGCGGGGAGATCGCCCGCGATGTTCAAGGGAAATCCAAGGAGACATCCAGCTTGACGCGGAGTATCTTCTCTCGGGTCAGGGGCAGATCCTGTAATGCGCGTGGGCAGGACGAGCGCCAGAGGAGCTGAGGGGGGCTGCCTGCAGGGCCCACGGACGCGCCACCGCCTGCCCCCAGGAGGGAGAACAGCCCCCTTTTCTTGGGCCGCTTCCAGTACCACCCAACAGGGACTGGACACGGGGAGGTGGGGAAACGGTGGGAAAAGCTTCACTCGTCTCACTTAGGAATTTCCACAGCGGCTGAAGGTGCAAGAGGGGAAGGGCCACGCCGGATGTGTGCGTCAGGAGAGTTCATGCTGCAAGCCTTGCATCAGCTTTTCACCAACTCGGCAGAACAACCCTGGGTAAATCCCGACCGTCCAGCCACCGCGGAGGTCCACCGTGCGCCTTGATCCAACTTGCGTCTCGCCTGCCCCAGTCCCTGCCTGCTGGATCAGCCACTGAAATGGAATCTGGCAGGAAGGTTGTGCGCCCCCGCCCCCCTGCAAATCTCATACTTCAGCAGAAAAGGGATGGGAGAGGTGTGTCCCGGTGGGCCCCGAGAACGTCGTGCCAGAGGGAAGAGGTGCGGGAATGCAGCTCCGCCAGGCCACGGGGGCTTTGCCGACCGCGCGCCGGAGGCTCGGCCCTCCCCCACGATGCCGGGCCTGCCGCCTGTCCGGGTGAGCGGGCCCCGGGTGCCGGGGTCCGGGCCAGGCCGCGTCCTCTGCGCGGCTGCCCAGCACACGGGGGAGAGCCGCCTCAGGCCGGCCGGCGGCCGCTCCGTGCAGCGCCGCTCCGGTTCACACGTCGAGGCGGAAGGCTCCGAAGTAGCTGCCCGTGTGGTCGTAGTTGATGTCCAGCGAGGAGACGGACACAAAGAGCTTGTCCCCCGCCCGGAGTTCGAAGAGGCCGCCCTGGTAGAGGGCGTGCAGCCCGTAGGTGGCGTCCTGGGCCCAGCACTTGGTGCCCACCCCCTTCAGCAGCAGGATGTTCTGCCCGGAGGCGCTCTGGCGGTTGACGCACTGCACCAGCTGGTGGCCTGCGGCCCGCGGGTCGGCGCCCTCGGCGGGGTAGCGGAAGTAGATCTGCGTGTAGACGTAGTACCGGCCCGCCTGGCGCACCTGCAGCATGCCGTCCCGGTAGGTGATGTTCTGCAGGTGGGTGTGCATCGTGCGGCTGGCCCAGTGGGGCAGTGGGTGCTGGCACGAGCGCTGCAGCTCCCCGAAGGGCCGGGCGCTGGCTGGGGGAGAAGCTGGCGTCACCGGGGGCCCTCTGCCCTGCCACGCCCCCTGACCGCGGCCCTCTTGGCCACCACGGCCGCAGGGGCAGGCGAGGCCCGGGCACGAGCCCCTGGGGCCCCCCGGCTGCGCTGCCGACTTACCTGGCTGCGCCGGGCTCTGCCGCCAGAGCGTGAGGTGGGCAGAGGGACTGCCGCCGGGCCCGGTGCGCGTCAGCGGCCCGCCCGAGGCATTGCTGTGCTCGCGGGGTGCGCCTGCAGCACAAGAGGAGGTGGTCCAGCTCGGGCTGGGCACTGCCGCCCACCCGCGAGGGCAGCCCGGTGTCCTGGGGGGAGTCGGGGCGCGGCAGCACCGGCCTTACAGGCTGCCAGCTCAGATGGAAGGCTGGGGCACCGTGCATCGGGCAGGCCCCTTTCTGCGCCCGGGCGGGGGGAGCTGCACACTTCCCCTTGCTTCTCAGCCCCCCTGGCCCAAATGTCGGCACCTGGACCCAGCAAAGCCTATCGGGGGCAGCAGGCAGCCCGCCTTCGAGCCCTTCCCTTCCCTTCCCTTCCCTTCCCTTCCCTTCCCTTCCCTTCCCTTCCCTTTGGGGACGAGTCAATGTGGCCACTTCCCCAGAGGCTTACTGGGCACCCCGCTTTCCACTGCCCCACTGTCCGCAGGCCCTCGTGAGCCAGACTCACCGCTCTGAGTGCTCTTGCGGAGGATGCCCTCGGTCACCTGAAACGGGAGCAAGGAAGGGGCTCAGAGGGGGCCCTGGGGAAGCGGCAGGTGGGAAGCCTGGCTAGGGGTCCAGCAGCCCCTAGCTGCTGCCACAGGGGCCCCACCTGCCTCTCCCAGCCAGAAGCCCCAGGAGCGGCTCTCCGGAACGAGCAGAGTGGAGAGCCGCGAGCGGGACGGCGAGCGCGCGTCTCAGCCCGCAGGGGCTGGAGGTGGGAAGGTGGAACTTGGCTGCCATCTGTGGCGTGTCTCCTCCCCCGCAACCTGGGCCGCTCTCCCCTTCGGCTCCCACCCACCCGTGATGGAGGCGTCTGTCCGGCCGCCCCCAACTGGTCATTCAGGCGCTGCACACACCCGCTGTGGCGACGGGGTGGCGGCCGTGGGCACAGGCAGGCTGGGCGCCTGGGGTGCGAGGGGGCTCAGTGCAGGCCCCCGGTGCCTTCCGAGCCCTGCAGGGCTCGAGCGGGCCATGGCCACCTCCGCTGGCCGGGCTTACCATGTCGATGTAGTCCTTGATGCTTCCAGCCAGCTTGAGGCACGAGTGGCTGCCGACCAGCTCCTCCGAGTCGGGCAGCTCCTGCAGCCTGTTGAGGAAGAGGAGGCAGCGCAGCTCCTCCGAGCTCCCCTGGGCTTGGCTCTTGAGCTGAGGAAGAGAAGCGATGCCGTGGAGAGGGGGGCGGTTAGACTGACCAGGACCTGCTTGCGTGGCTGGGGGGCGGCGGGCAGCCACGCATCCCTGCCTGGGGAAGGAAAGGCCCCCCCTCGGCACCCCGCCGGCCCTTGGGCGCCCTCTGCCAGCACCGCCTGTGTCTCGCGTGTCCCACCCGCAGCTGGCAGGGGGCACCCCAGGCCGCATCTGCGGCCGCCCTGCCATGTCTGGCCTCAGATCCTGCCCTGGCAGGGATCCGGAACTGCCTGAGCCCATTTCATGGCCCCCGCAGCGGGAGGCGCTGCCCTGGCCCACAGGGGTCCAGACGCAGGCCCAGCAGGAGCTGCCCACGGCCTGCTGCCCAGTCCTGCCAACGCAGCCAGAGAAGCTGCCCAGGAGCAGAGACAACGCGGAGCGCAAGGCTCAGCCAGGGCCCTGTGGCCGGGAGGGCCCAGATAGGCGTGTGGGCAGCGGCCGCCCACTGCTGTTCCCGGCAAGCGGGCCTGAGTGGCGTCCCACTTGTGAGACAGGCAGCCTGTGGCTTCGCGCTTGGGAGTCTGCTAGCCACACAAGCCAACGGCCTTCAGCCCATCTTGAGGAACTCCGGTTTGCCGGGCCCCATGTGAAGAAGCCTGCTCTGCCCCCCATCTGCCAAGAACCCTCCCCGACCCGCCTGACCCACGCACTGTCTCTGCGCCGCACAGGCACGAGGACGTCCTACCTTCCTGCTGAACCCAAGGCGGGTGGGGGAGGGAGCCTTGCCCCCACGCAAGGCCCTCCAGCAAGTACCCATCTTCCCCAGCTCTCCAGGGGGTGACGCGACGGATGGATGGGATCCCCACGGGCTTGTCTCTCAGAGAATGCAGAAGAAAGTGTGGGCTTTCCGGCTGAGACTGCCGGAGGGGGAGTGCTCAGAGCGAGGCAGAGAGCCCATGTCTGGGGCAGGAGGGGAGAGGAGGCTGGCCAGAGCCGGCCGGGGCGCACGCTGCTCCCCCCCTCCCCCGCTGGATGTGCCCAGAGACGGAGCTGTGGGTGCTGCATGTGAACAGTGGTGGGATTCCACCTCGTCCATCCCAAGCCGCACGAGCCCGCCGCCATCCAGGCAGTGAGGCCAGCGCAGCAACGCTCCACTCCTCAGGGGCCCTGCGTTTTTCGCTTTTCCGTAAAGGATGCGTCCTCCGCCCCCGTTCGGGGCGATTCCACAGAGCGCCTGTTATGCAACTGGCCTGTTTCCTTCATGGATCATCCCGACATTCCTTCTGAGTTTCCCCCCACTGTGTCCAAAATCATTTTCTCCCTTCCCAGAAGGGAAGATGGAAGAGCAGGACAGGGACTTCCGGCCAGTTCCGTCGCACCGTAAGCAGCTGCTGCGTGGCAACAAACGGGCCCCGGAGGTGCAGCGGCCGTTTGGCAGATGTGCAGATCCTCGCAGCCACGCCGACGGCTGCGAGGGATTGCCGCAGCTGCGCGAGGGGCGAGCGGCTGTGAGCCGCCCTGCAAGGCTTGCGCCCGGGCAGCGTCCCCGCACCGCCCTCGCCGGCCTGCGACAGGCTCCTCGGCAGCCTTCCAGAGGCTTCCCTTGAAACAATGCAGGGCCGATGGGGAAACGGAATCCAGGCTAAGCCTGTAAGCTGCTGAAAAGTTGCTGGGGAACTTGCCTCAACAGCCCCACCCATACTTCCCTTGCTGCAAAGCACGCACGCACGCACGGGGGCAGACCCGCTGCCAGCTTTCCCGATTCCCGCATGTGCCTGGATGCCGCGTGCGACGTGGAAGCTGCCGGCAGTGGGCAGCTTGCAGGATCACCAGAAGGGCGTGCAAGAGCACATGTTCCTTGATCTCAGGTTTGTGGGTCACAAGAATGGCACAGCAGGACACGGCACCCGTTCAGACAACTGCTGCAGAAGGGGCAGGAACCATTGTTCTTGCGAATGCCTCCTTGTGCTAAGCGGCTGTGCAGCAAACACCCTCACATGAACTGGACAGCTACAAATGAAGAAATCGTAGCATTCCTCAAAAGTGGCAACAGCGCGTATGGGCGGAGGCAGTGCCTACAGCTGCGGAAGAGGTGGAAGTAAATCAGCCGGTGAAGCCGTGCTACTCGCTGCCCTCCCACTGGCTGATTTTGCCATGCGCTGCCGCTCTCCGAAGAGCGGGCCCCCTCCCTCTGCAAGTGGGCGAACGCTGGAGGGCGAGCAAGCAGCCACGCCACGGCCCAGGGCTGTGCCGGAAAGCAGGCAGGGCTTCTGCTGGCTGGAGCGTGGCTGGTGGGACTGACCTTCTGGGAAATTACAGATTTCCTGGCAGCAGTTAATTATTGCACAACCGGTGCCATGCGAGGCAGAGTGATCCGTGGATGTGCCAGGCACGGCCCCTACCCCTCAGCACCTTGCTGCTCACAGTGCCTACAGATGGCGCTCCCACTTGCCAACCCAGGAGGACCACTCGGGGGAGCTTTACAGAGAGCAGCAGCCAGATGGGCCCAGGAGGAGCCTGCAGCCGCGGCACAGGGCCTCCCGCACCTCTGTGGGCAGAAGAGTTCGTGCCAGTTCTCGGGACTGCTTGTTGATCAACAGGTTTTCTTTATCACCCAATAGCTGAAGCTCTCTGGACTTACTCCGTAAGTACAGCATGGAATAAACAGATAACGCCTCATAAAATTGCACAGAGAACAAACCATCTTCAAAACACATTTTTACAACTGAGCAGATACCCCCGGTCCATGTGGCTAGACCTGCAGGTCATCGTCAAGGCGCCCTTTGTGGCTGGGTGGCTGCCATCAGCTGCTCGCTGTTGGTACACGGTGCAGTTCGGCATCACCCTTCACTGGTGCTGCGGGTGGGTGACTCCTCACAAACCAAGGAGCAGGCAGGCAGGACACCCAGCCAGGCAGAGGCGGCGGTTTGTGCTGCCCCTTCAGCAGCCCCAGCTACTCACATGCAGGCCCTGCTCAAGCAGCTAGCTGCCCCTTTTCTCCCTGCCTTGCTCCAGGCGACGCAGAAGCCAGCTGCTGATGCCCCCCCCCCCCCGGACTGCAGAGGTCCCTCAAGCAGAAATGGGGAACTGGTCGTGGACTTCCCCTCCACCGCCGACACGCGCACACGGCTGTGCAAGCGCCTCCTCCCTGGCTTGCCCCCTTGCAGCTTGCAGGATCGCGTTTTCATCGCAGGCCGAGAGCGCGTATCAGATGCACCCCTTCACCATCCACACATGACCTGGACTTTGCCCACGGCAGTTTCCCTGGACTCCCGCAGCAGTCAGCACCCCAACTGGGTTTTGCATGGGCACGAAAGGCATCGTAGGGGACCCGAATCCCATTTTTGCATTGCACGGCAGATGGCAAGAGCAGTCCTATCCTGCTGGAGCCCAGGCACTTTCCTGTGATGCGGAGAGCAACCTTCAAGGGATGGCGAAACTCCCTCCTGGCCCCTGTGGGACAACCAGCCGCTCGGGTGCCTGCGAGCCACGGAGCTCCTGGACAGGCTCCCGGACGTGGACAGGCAGGCGTGGCTGTATCGGACTCCAGCTGCAGGGGGCGTTGCTGCATTCGTTGCCCACGAGCTGCTTTTGCTCCTGGTTGGTGTGTTTAACGTCTTGTACACCAGGAGCAGCTTGCCTATTGGATGCCTTAAGCGTGCCATGGGAAGCGAGCTGGAGAAAGAGATGCCAAGCCAGCTCCACAGACCCTTCGGACCAAGGCCCCAGGGTCTCCCCGTGGGAAGTCCCTCCTCTGGAACAGGAATGCCTTGTGGAGCAGCTCTCCCAAATCCAGCCTGCTGGGTCAGAGGTGACTCCTCCCACATTCACCCCAGGGACCCAGGGCACGCTTATCAGGGCAGGGCCAGTCTTGACCCCTCCCTCCCTCCCTCCCTCCCTCCAGACAACGGACAGGCACTAGAGGTCTGCAGCTGCAAAACAGGCCTCCCTTTCGCCTGGGCACTCCGTAGCACAAGTTTAAAGAGAGCCTCTCCAAGAAATATCACGGGGAACCCCGGAAGTGTGTGTTGAACTCCAGCACCCATCCCAAGCTGAAGGCAGGCTGAATTAAAAAGCAGTGGCTTGACGTCCCCTTTGGATTCTGTTTAAAAACAGGCTTCAAGGCCTGGTCTTAAGACCAGCTGGGAGCCGCTTCTAAGCAGCAATTGCGAGCGGCGCTGGGGAGGTCTTACAGGGGAGTCCCAGGCAGGTCTACTCAGTCGTGAGCTGTACTTAGTTGAATGGCGTTTACTTCCAGGAAAGGCTTGCAGGCCCACCCGGTTTCACTGGCGTTCCCAGAAACTGGGCTGCAGGTTCGACTGCAGTGGCCGATCCAGCGTTTCCTGGCATTTCGTCGTAAATTCATTCGCTGCCTGCTTGTGGGCAATCTTCGGGCTCCACAAAACTGCAAAAGCCAAGCCCTCCGGCAGGGAGCTTGTCCGGCTGCACCTTTCTCCCTTGCTACCCGGAGTGGGGGAGGGGAATCCAAAGGGACGGGCAGGGACTGGGCGGCAGCAAAGGCAGCCTCCTTTCCTCCCCGGAGCCTCCGCTCCTCCCAGGGCCTGTCGGGCCACCCGAGCGCTGCAGAGGCTTCTCGCCGGTGCCAGGCGCAGCTGCTCCGCAAGCCCGCTCCTGCCCGGGCCTTCCAGACATGCAGCCGCAGCCCCCCGAGCCGGGCCCTGCCGCGTGGGGGCCGATGGGCTCTGCAGTCCGGGACGTCCAGCGGCGCCGGCCAGGCAGCTCCTCCCGGCGCTCCGAGCCAGGGAGGGCGGCTGGGGCGCGCTCCGTCGGAACTGTGTCTGTCAACAAAAGCCGCGGCGGCTGCCAGGCGGCGGGAGGTGCTCAGCCATCCGGCCCCGCTCCCACCATTGTCTGCGCTTTCCCTGCCCGGAGGGCGGCGACACCGCGGCGGCGGCGGAGAGGGGCAGTTTTGCTTTCTCTTTCCCGCGGGCCACGGGCTCCCCGGGCGCCGCGCACGCCAGCCAGCGCGGAGCTGCACAACCGGTCAAGGCACCTGGCGAGCGGGGCTGGGGGAGGGGGCAGCTCAGGTGACCTGGGAGCCTCCGGCTCCGCCGCTCCGCCTCGGCTCGGCCCGCACCCGCTCCAACCTCTCCGGTGCAGCGCGAAGCCGGGCAGGCTTGCTCGGAGGCGACCCCGCCGAGTCGGCGAGGACGCGCTCTCCCGCGGCAGTTCGCAGCGCACCCTGCGGCCATTCCGTCGCGATCCCGGCCGGAGGCGCCGCCGAGCCCCTGGACGGGTCGCGGGCTGTCTGCGACGCCGCTCCCGGGAATCGAAGGGGGCTGCTTCCCAGGAAATGCCGCCGGGGCTCCCGGCAAGGCAGCGCGGGTGGCGACCGGGGAAAGGAGACCTGGCTGAGGGGGCAGAAGGGGGCACCGGGCGCGGCTGGAGAAGGGGCGGGCGGAAGGGGCCGGGGCGCTGCTCCGGACGCCACGCGCCCGACCCCGCGGCATCCCCGCCTCCGCCGCGGGCAGTCCGAGCGCGGCGCCGCGGCCGCGCACCCGCGGCTCACCTTGGCGATGGACATGGTGAAGTAGACGAAGAGGCCGGTGGTGGAGGCGACCTGCAGCGCCACGATGGCCATGGCGGCCACGGCCAGCCAGACCGGGCTGCACCGCTTCCTCCGGCGGCGCTTCTCGCCGCAGGCCGGCGCCTCGCCCTCGGCGGGTCCCAGCATGCGGGCGGCCGAGTCGCTGCTGTCCGAGCGGAAGTACTGCTGGCCCGCGGGGGCCGCCGCCTGCGCCATCCCGGCGCGCGACGCAGAGCACCGACGGGCGCGCGATCGCCCCGCGGCCGCCC